GGTTCGTAGATTGGGTGGACATCAATGCACCTGTTTATTCCCAACGGACTTAAGTGTTTTCCCCACGGAGGTTCCCTGGCCGTCTTGGGATTTCTCTTACAGATAGTTCCGAATTCTCTCTAGTTAAACTCACGTCCATGGTTGTCTACATATGTCGATATCAGTGACACCACATCACGTCTCTCTATTGCTGATCCGTGTTCATTTATGGATAGATGAGGAGGACGTTCAATTTGTTCAGTGTGATAGGTCCCGTAGTTGGTGCAATTTATTTTATAAATGATGTCTCATTTCTCTTCTTTTGTTGTTGTCTTTTGGTCTGTATAGAATGAAATAGAGTGGTTGCATTGGTTTGTGGGCGACGGTTATTCCAAAGAGCTTTAGAGCCCTTGTGATGATTTCTGAGACGAGTTTCGCACATCGTAGGGCGATCTGTTTCTTGGTTGCCAGAGTTGTTTTTTACTTCTGTGATTAGTGTCTGGACATAATTCGTTTTGTATACTGTTGTAGCTTTTAATACTTGCTTTGTGTACCTTAGTTTTTTTTCATACTTGTCTTTTACGTCCCTCTGTTTACTCTGTTGCCTAAAATATCAAAGAACAAAACCCTGTCTTCTGTTTCTTTAATTGTAAATTTGCTGTAGTTGTTAACGTCGACCAACCTACGAATATTTGCAAGTGATCTCTCTTCAGGATAACTAACATGTCACCCGCGTAACCTCTTCTAAATTGATGTGGTAATCATAAAACTAAACAGGATGTACCTGAATCCTAGAGTGTGTTGTTTGCCTGTATGTTTACTCATATGGCTAACCAACTAACATCTTAAGAGTTGAACTTAGAACTTAGTGGGTGATTGTTGTAGATACTGTCTATAGAGCTCTCGATTACTCAAGAGATGAAATCTTGGGTTGAAGTGAAGATACGTTATCAAACATGCTCATGATTACTACCAGTGTCACCGATTCCGGGGGGTAGATCTATATAGTAATACTGTGGCGCTGTCAATCGTCTACTCAATAGTGTGTACTTTTTCAATAAATTTGTGACTACATTTCATAAAGCCAGCTCAACAAAAAATGAAGTTTATGGAATACATTTTTCCTCTCTTTTGCTTCGATACTTTATAGAAACAGTATGGGAAAATTACAAAACTGGACATTTAGGTGAAAAAATGTCTGACATGAATGCATGAAATCTCATAACGTTATACGCTAGCTCGAATCTTGAAATGAAAGAAGTGTTCACGTGATCTAATAGATCATCTTGTTTTATTATTTTGAGCTTATCTCTAGAAACTTAGGGAAGGTCCACATCCATCTAAGTTATAACTTTGGTTCGTATAACCAGATATACATATATCTTTGGTGTTGTTCTTTGTTTATCAGCAAACATCTACAATATACCTGTTTTCTATTTTTCAACCCACCAGTTTACTTGAGCGTGTGATATTAAGATCGTATCTTGCAGTCTTTGGTTCTTATGAACCATGTTGATCCCTGAAGACCAAATATGGATGGTCGTTGTTGGTTTCATAATAGCTTTTATTCTTGCTTTTGGAATTGGTGCAAATGATGTGGCAAATTCATTCGGGACTAGTGTTGGGGCCAAAGTATTAACACTGAAACAAGCTTGTATTCTTGCTACAATCTGTGAATTAAGCGGTTCTGTTCTTTTAGGTAAATTTAGTTTGGTTATATATATACGTGCGTGCTTCTTCAGGTGCTAAAGTTTCCAATACCATACGGAAAGGTATTGTTAGTGTCGAACTTTTTCAAACCATCGACAACGGGCATGTACTCTTGATGGCCGGACAGGTTGCTGCTCTGGGTGGTAGGTCTATGAAAATAGTGTTTTTTCACTATATAATTTTTTTCTGGATTTCAAAAGTAATCAACTACATTTAATCTCTGGTGCTAACAGTTATACATGAATTAAATAAAACTGATAAGATAATAATTCTCCTAGTGATAATGAGCTATTTTACTTTATATATATCAACATTCGCTCGACCGTAGCTGCTATCGATGTGGTGGTCGGACTTGCCTATCGTGATGATTCTACTGAACTATGTCGGGGTAAGCACTTATTTCTTTAGGTGCTGCCATACCAGGGAGGTCGGTTGGAAGACGGTAATACTAAAAGCAGCAACTTAAGGCCCGCGGGCCAGATCGTACTGCTGACTGTAGTGGAGTGTGGGTGCAGTAAGGTGTTTTCTTCGGACAACCAGCATCTGCATCCGGCGGTAAGGCGTTTTGAAGTGCGAAGCAAACTCATCAAAACGTCCCATATAAAGCCCGTGCGCAACTGGCCTTAAGCAGTTGTCCCTTGGGCTCTGCGGTCACACTCCTAGTTCGCCAAGACCACCACTAATTCAACATCCTTTTCAGGTCCCTCAAGAAGAAATATCTTTCCGCGGTGTGGGCAACCGGAAAGTGACAACCATTCATCCCCATGAATAACCCTTCTAACTTATCTTTGTCACCTACGTGCCACTAACATTAATGATTTGAGTTCACGAAATGTTATTTATGGTCTCTTGAAACTATGCTCTAAACTATATGTTGGAGCTTTTAATATTCGAACCTTGTGTCGGATGACACAACATGCTCCTTTAGCTAAAACCCTAGAATCTCGCTCCATCGACGTGTAACGCGTCTCCGAAACGCTCATACAGGGTCCAAGTACAGTCGTTCATTTGACCTCACCTTGTCAGTATAAAGAATCGGGGCTATTTGCCCTAAAAGTGACTGGAGCCCCCACTGCTAGTTCCCGTGACCTCTCTGGTGTAGGTTTAGCATTAAATTCCAACTTAAAACAGGCTTTCATAGACGGGACTCGAACAAACAGTCGCTTGTGTGCTGTCCAGCTAAACGGGACAGGAAGAACTCGATAACCTCATAGATGATATCATCATCACACTAATAAAGTTGTAAGTTCGATTTCGGACCAAACGCATCCTGCAAATCTGGACAGACGGTGTACATCTCGAACTCTATGGGTGTGATAAACGCACAAAGTGGCTGACTTAGTAGATGAGGAACTCAAACGACTTAATCTCTAATCCGATGCATTCATCATCACCGGTACAGCAGCGACATGGACATGCTCAGATCGCATTATCCTATATGTACTTTGTCTTCGTGTCAACTCTGCTCACTTATCTGTTTGATGGATCGTCCCATTATGACCATAATTATCATATTCTCATCATTACATTAATGTCATATCATCACCTAACGTGGAATTATTATTTTTGTTCGTGCTGACATTGGATTATGACATATGCACAATCATATCACTCACCGAAGAAATTATAATTTTATGAACATTCCATTCACGTTATAACATTTGAAACTCACTGGACTGTTTTCTATTATTCAATAACGTAAAACTTTCCTGTCTTGAGTGAGTCCGCTCAATTTTTTTCGTGCCATTTCCGCCCTATTTTTACATACATTTACTTAGGCGAGATCATTTTAATGCTATACCAAACATTTTTCATTTCGATATCATTTATTGTGTCTGTGGATGCCTTTAATTCTGATAAGCCTTTTGCTAGGATATCTCATTTTTATTTTGTTCTGGGTCAATTATCACATCAATGACTTAGCTATTATCTTTCATTTTTGCGGATATATGGCTATCACATGTCATATATTTCTGACATATTTACTACCTGCTCATACATCAGACAACTTGCAACCTACTTATTCTCACGGTATATTCCTCTGTCATACCCATGAACGATTTATCACTCTGTTTTCACGATATTTTGAATCGCTCATACGAACGTGTCATTTAATCATTCAAACAGTCACGAAATAAATGTATGTTAATTTTTTGTACGCTTGGTAATTTGCTCATAATCGCATGCTAACATTCCATTTTTTGTCCCCATCTTTACAATATTCATGTACTTTTTTACATAAGTATGACAATACATTCACTCATTATGCGCACTACTCTATCAGATACAGTACAATTTTTGTTCGCTAGTTATTGTTTTCGTTAACCGCACACATCTTCTGTGTTAATTTCGAAAATAGACATTTTAAGGTTAATTTGCTATTTTATACAGGGGGCTTTGGCGTGGCTGGCACTATGTCAAGCCCATATAGCTTATTCTAGCTTTCGGACAGGCCAATTCATTCTCCTTGAGTCACATTTTTGACTTTGTTAATTATTCGCTTATCAACCTTGACCGTTTTTATGTAAGCGTATGTGTGTGGATTTGTTATTCGACTCATCACATGTCTGTAACCTGTTTTTTGTCTGACTAGAAATATTGAGTAACTCTTGGTTCAGTTGATTTGGTTGACATGTCTTCTCCGGTTCGTCTCGCTTCACTCTCTCCTCTTCTCTTCCTTCGCTCCGTCTTTCTGATTGTCTATTCCGATCAACGATTGTACAAAATATACGTATTCGAAACCCATTCTTGTATTTGTCTTACTTTAATTCCGTTATTCACTAACGAGAGTTAAGTCGAGGATTGGCAGCATGTATATATCTCGATAACAATCAGAAACGATCTAACTGGAGTCAGATATAATGCCACTAGAAGTGTATTTTGAGATCACGGAATATTCAATGTCTGGGTTAGGAATAAAGTACTAGGCAAAGATAGGAAATCGATTGATGATCTAATAAATCTACATCAACTGAGGTGTTTGGGACATGTGTTGAGTATGCCCAACCACCGCCTACCTCGACAGTCGATGTTTTCTGGTGCAGGAGTAGGCTGGAGGGAAGCTATGGGGCAACCAAACCAAAACATGACATCAATCCATGGAGTCACTGACAACTGGATTTAACTAGTGTTAATAAGTACTACCTGGTCGGGGGTTGCGTGATTATCGTAATCAATGGTTGGAGACGTTGAATGACATGGCTCTAAATCGTTTGGAACGGCTCAGGTGCATCCATTCTTTGTCGTTATTCTGCTAATTTATATCTTTTCGAGTCATATCTTCGATGTTCAATCTTGCCTATTACCACTGATACTGTTACTACCTCTACTATTCTAGGATCTGGCCTGATAACAACTTCATCTCTCTGTGCTATTGGGGTATAGCAACTTGAACCGATGTACATGCGTATAGGTTCTACGTTGTGATTGACTAATATCAACTGTTAAATTACAGTTGTTACCAAACTGTTTAATGTCTTTTGCACAATAAAACATTTGATGGCAACTTTAAAAATCTTAAATACTTAGTCAGTTTTAAAAGGAGATTTTATTATTCCAAAACAATGACGTACTTATTACAATATTGATAAAATAATTGTCAAATTATTTGTTAGTTTTTATCCTATGTTTGAGTGAAACTGTATGCAGAATCCGACGTAGTTTTTGTGATTATAGTTTTAATGTCAAGTTGGCACATCTATACTCCATGTTCTTAACAAATATTTACTTCTCTCAAGGTGATTGCTAATTTCCTGTTAAAATAATCTTTGTTGTAAAATAATTTGTGACTTATCAAAATTTATTATTGGTTGCATTTGTGGTAGGCATATTTTTTAATGCTATTTATTTTTATTTAATAAAAACGAACCCATTAGATATTTGTATACTTGTTTAGCAAATGTTATGTTCGCTTAAAGCCTGTAATATTGGGTCTAATGAACTCATGACAAGCAGTTAAATGTATACACTGTTATTATGTATTATTCAATTTGGGACTAACTCTAACATTTTGAGATTATTTCAGGTATGTAGCATAATTAGTATAATGGTTAAAAGATAACTTCTTACAGTTTTCTTAATCTCTATTCTGACGGGCGCATATCAGTTAATTAAACTCGAATATCAAATAATTGACATTAAGTGGATGTATTTGATAATCATAAGCTTTTATCATCAGTAAACTGTATCCATAGAATTATACATATACTGATAGATTTTACGGAGATATTCACTATTTCGAGTAACTTTTTTTCTACCATTTTCTGTTATATTTGTTTCATTTGTCTATAGGTTCTTGTATTTGGCTTTTGGTTGCTACATTCTTCCGTCTTCCAGTCTCTGGCACACATAGTATTGTAGGTGCAACGATGGGTTTTAGTCTTGTTGTTTTTGGACTCAATGCTATTCAATGGAAAGGACTACTAAAAATTGGTAAGAATTTTTTTAAAATATAAAGATAATGAACATGATAATTATTTTTCTGAATACACTTTTGATAATTTAATGAGAATAAATTATTTAGTAGCGATGTTGTTTACTCGATACTGCAGTATTTATTTATTCGTGTAGTAAAGATTTTAACCCTATATGAATGATTATGATTTCATACGAATTCATAACTTTGTAGTTTGAGTCCCATTTCAAACTTGAACAGCATGAATTCTACTTGTTAGTAAAGTTATTATTACCATTTATAAATTTTTAGAAATGTAAGTAATTTTTCCCTTTATGCGTTAAATGCTTAAGCATTAATGTTCCTCACAGTATCTTTATGAATTAAACTATTTTTCTTATGATAGCTATTGCTATTAGTAAAATCTAGTTCCCTTTTAATAAACAAATAACTGCTTAGGTCTAAACAACTAGACATGGCTATCTATATAATGTACTTTATGCACCTTGGTTTTCAATAGTAAACTACAGAATATTTCGTAAATTTCACTTTGTTGTATTCTTATGCTGGAGCGTAGGATAATCCACATGATTTAGAAAAGCCTAACAGAAAACGGATGATTTGATAAAACCTAGGAGAGATTTTAAATCATAAGACATTCTGATAATTAATAAGCTATAAAAGTTATATTACAAAATCTAAACATAGTCTGTTTTTCCTTATTATCGCTTTTTAACTACGTTGGAATCATAATACGTCAAACATTTTTGTAAGTCTGAGGTTGTGGAGATTGTTGAGTTTCAATGAAATCACAAACCGATTTAAATCAGACAGCCATCCGAAAATTGGAAGCACTAGACTGCCTTTTCATTCTAGCGTGCGACTCCTAAATAGTGTGCCCACGATCCCAGAACCGGGATTCGAACCCAGGACTTTCTGTCTACAGATCAAAGGTGATAAGTGTTAGATTTTATATACGTATTATGTTTAGTATATATGGTTATACGTTTTGGAACAGTTTTTACTGCACACTATGTATATGGTCAAACAGTTTGTTCCTGGATTAAACTTACTTTATTGATGTGTTTTCCCATGTTAGGTGATCAGGATTAGACGGTGTATTTCATCATCTGACTCAACAATGATTGTATGTGTTCACTCAGCTGATTTCTACTATTTATGTAAAATTATATGCATATGCAAATTCTGTCACAGTGATGGTTCCACAAACAACGCAAAAATATAATACACCGAGTTGCTTGAAGTAATGTTTTGCTTTTCTATATTTAAAACAAAATCAAATAATAGTAGTCTCAGTTTTTTGAAAACGAAGTTAACATAGATCTATTTTGTAGTAGAATGAGGTATCTAAGATCCAAAGCAAAGCTTACATCTGATTTATATTTACAGGAGAACACTAGATACAGTCATTTGAGTATGATGTCATCGGTGCAAAGATATATTTTGTATTTGTTTTTTCTTCAAGTAGTGAAAATTCAATCGTTTCTGACCAGTTTGCTATTTGTTCCATTGTTTATTTGTCCTTCGCTTTGGTATTTTACAAATAATATTTCTTTTCTTGAACAAACATTTCTGTTTGCCTATATTCTTCGTGTTTACTTCAACACTTTTCTCTTTTTGCTCCGCTATGAAATGCTACAATTAGTTAGTATGTATTTATTATTCATGGTTTGATAATGCTGAGTCTTCACCACCTAATTATGAATAGTACTTGCTGTAATTTAAGTGATCACATTGGTTGGATGGGAAATCTATATATTCTATGACGGTAGTGATTTATATAATAGTGGACTAAGATAAACTAAATATAATGAATAATCTCATAGACCAAATAATAGTTTTATTCCTTGAACTACTGAGCAGTTTTATAATCATAATAATAGTGTTATAAGTAATTTAGAGAAGAAACATGATACTATTTAAATATTGTAACTTACATTGTATTTCTAGGCTTTACTTTTCATTCACATTGGTCTTTTTTATTGAAAGTTACATGACTTTCCCTGTTTAAATAAGAAAAAATACACCTTTTCGAGATTTACTTCACATTAAAAATATTGTAATCAATTTCGTCATTTTCAGGATTTTATTATATTTTGCCTACATTCGTGTCTATAGTATGACAGTTCAATTAAATATGCCAAATTATTGAGTAATAATAATAATAATAATAATATTTACATGCTTATGCCTGTTACCCATCGTGGAGGAGCATAGGTCGTCCACCAGCATTCTGCAGCCAACACTGTCATGGGCAATCCTTTGCAGTTATTTCCAGTTGCAATTAATCCTTTTGATGTCTGCTTCCAATAATGATTATAATTAATTTACTGTCCTACTTATTGACACTTTATACTTATAAGGATTGAATAAGTATTAACTTTTTGTATAATATATTCATACTACATAATTTGATAACTTGACTGTTAATCATCCTGTTTTTACATATTATATTTTATGCAACTGTACATGTAGAACTGTTCATTTTATTTGTTTGTACATAAATATGGAATGCTATCATGGCCATGTTATAGGATGGTAACGATAGCTAATGTTGTTATTGGATAGAATTGACTTTAATCGTGTGACTTGGACTTTACTTTCTGTGTAATTCCTTTCATTCGTTTTTATAAACTATAAATCAAATATTTTCATACAGAGCTTAGTTAAGTTTTCCCAAAATAGTTTTTTTTAAAAACTTGTAAAGGGCTATAAATAAATGATATATTTGTAATATCCCAATGAATAGAAAATTAGATTTTCCGACGTTTCGTGACTTAGTGTAAGTCACTTCTTCAGAGAATAAATAACCAAATTAAACTTGGGTTAATTTTAATTTGGTTATTTATTCTCTGAAGAAATGGCTTACACTAAGTCACGAAACGTCAGAAAATCTAATTTTCTACTCATTAGGATATTACAAATATATTATTTATTTATAACAATCTACCCAATGCTCAATTCATTCGAAATTATCAAATCAAACCTTGGTCATGATACCTTGTAAAGGACTAGTTATCTTTTTTTAAAGTGGGATAAATTTATTCAGTCTCTTCACTTGACTTTAGATAAATTCATGCTGTATAGACTTATGTTAATTGAGATGGCTGGTCTGTTAAGAATTTTTTCTCATTTTGGAATTAGTTTTAACAAGGAATCAACACAATAATTGACATTCTTCTGAATTTAACCAATTAGCAATAGATAGCTCTAATAATATCCATTGTTATCGATGATTTGCTGATGAAAACTGACTTCAGAATGAATTATTCTCCATAAATTAGTGAACTAGACAGAAGACATATTTTCAGACTATTTAAAACGTTATCAATGAAATATGGTTTATAAACGATTTGATTACTTTATTTCTGAACATTATCTTAATGTAATTTAGTAAATATTACATTTAATATCCTTGTTGTTGATGCCTACATAATCAATCGGTATTAATACTAATGAAATGTATATCCTACTTACTTCGTATACATTCTGTCGAAAAATCATGTTGATACAACTTAGATAATAAAAGTCAAGCACAACTTGTACGTATACTTTAAACATGCTGATGTCGAATGACAGACAAACAAATAAAAGGTCTACAGAGTGTACAAAGCACTGGAGTTCGGTAGTACACCGACTCAGAGAATAGTAAGGTGACTTAGTTTTTATAAATCATGTAAGAAATACAGGAATGGGATATGCATATACGTACTATTACACACAGATGTACAAAACGTGCTCAAGGTTTCACTGGACTAATTAACGAGAATAAATGTATGTGTCATAGAATAACTGGAAAGATTAGAATAAATTCTGTGCAAATGTTTGAATAAGTCACGTAGGCGTGTAATGAAACAAATTACTACATAAGCTGTGAAATTTCCTTCATTCTCCAGTTAACTGTTTGACTGCACGAAATTAAGTTTTTGGTTTATCTGTGACTAAAACTCCGGTGATATAACCTTTCAAGATATGATTCTTTGAATAAACAAGTCAACAAGTTGATATACGTTAGGCTTTCACCAAACTTTAATCACTTAGTCGAGCTCTTTAACCTATATTTCTTGGACAACAAGATTATTAAGTATCAAAATCAAATATTTCTCTTATCGACAAATTATTTATTATATTGTATAACTAATATAACAAATTCCTACAATACTTAACTATTGTTGAAACCAAAGGTATTTTTAATTCATGTGTTTGAATGATTCGGTTTGGTGATGAACAAGAAGCGAGCCATACTTTATTGATAATAAGGAACATAAACTTAATTCTCTTAAAAAGAACTACTGGACATCTGTTTTTAAGGAAATCTCGAATTGAAAATATTAACTGTTTTGTGTCCAATAAAATTTTGTCCGAACTAATATGTTTACTAGTCAGTTTCAAACGATTTTAAGAATTCTTATTGGTAGACTAGGAAAAGTTGAAATATTCTCATGTTGACAGTAACCGATGTAGACACATTCAAAATGTAATTATTGGATGCTAACATTAACCATCTTATGTTAAACCGATCTACTTACTGATCACGAAATTTCTTTTATCATTTGATTTTATTTTTAGCCACAACATATTTCTGTGCAAGTTCAACTTACAATTGCATTGTTTTAATAATCGTTTAATTTTCTGATGTACACTTTTAACAATTACCATAAATGAATGCTTTCTAGAGCAGTAAGGGGATAAAAATGTAATATCCATTGTAAATTATGAAAATGGTGGACGTTTCTTTGAATTAATGCTAGTATTTCTGGTAACAGTACAGTATAAGGATGAGTTTAAAACAACTGCGACGAATTTCCATCTAGTTTCTAGACGATCAGAAAGTAGATTTTATAAATGGATAGGTTATGTAAAAGAATTGTATACAGATTTCATGAAATAAATCTATCAATGTCTTTTGAAAGTTACTTTGTTTGTAAGTCGAAGAAACAACTACATATAAACTCGTCCTCATGAATATAGACCGTCCATCTTTTTGAATACTTTAAAGGACCCCAAAAAATTCTTAGGAGTCCCTACATTGTCCGAAGTTAGAGTTAGGGTTTTCATCACGAAATGGCGTCAGCTGAAGTGAAAAAATACTCTGTTGCCATATGGATGAGTGAATTTCACTCGAGAATACAAAAGGCACTATCTGATTAGTTCGTCTATATAATGTACTGTTACCAGGTTAAAGTTTGTTACAGGATTAAAAGTTTAGAGTTAGGATTATAGGGATGGTGTTGATTTGCCAGTTATATATAATCTACAGAAAAAGGATTGATCATTTGATGCGTTTAGTAATATCATTTTTACTCTATAGTTGCAAAAAATAATTATCTACAATCATTTTAAACGTTTTGAAAGACATACGAAAGTATTTGTACTGATGATTATACGTAATCTTTGAATTTCACGCAAAAGCCTAAAATTTGCACTCTTGACTGTGAGTGGCTCGTCGCCGCACCATACTTTAACCAGATTTCTTATTAATATTTAAAGACTGTATCTTTATAAATTGTAATTAGAAATTGTCAAGTTTGTTGCAAACTTTTCAGTTGTTCAACATGTAGACTTAATTCCGCCCGTCTGTGTTAAAGTTGGTCATCAATGTTCAGTTGTTGTCAACATCCAGATATGCATTCGTGACCAGTATTCATTTCATTAACCCAAGGGTTTACAATGTCGTCTGTCATTTTTACATGCTTAGTACTCTAACTGAAGTCTCGTCCAGATTTGGGCGAGTATTTTCACAAAAATTGGTCGTGGAAGAAATTGGTTATAAATTATATCTGTAAAAATTTCAGAAATTCAAATGAAGTGCATTCAGAATTTGATTCGGCAGTCCAATCTGAGCTTCTCCATGGAAACAGTCAAAACTATCGAAGATAGATTAGGTCGAAAGTAATTCTGACCATGGCATAATGCCTTTTATAACCACTCTATAAGAATGACGTCCACATAATATATTCAACATCATATACGGCTGTTCTGATATATTTTTCCACTGAATGATTCATGTTAATACTGTAAATGTGATTGAACAATTTAGTGTAAAATAACTTTCAACTTATTCTATTTTAGATAATTTTGATTATTTCCTTGTAGTAAACCAGATCATGCTGTTAGGTGAATTGTTATAACTATTGAATTTTAATCCCTGAGACTTAAAAATAGAAATTATACCTTTCGTATAGCGTTTATGAAAGCATCTTATAACATAGATAATATTATACAAGATTTTGTTTCAAAATATAGACTAAATGAAATAACACACCAATATTAATAATAAGCAAATAAATTAATTCTACGAAATTAATTGTTGACTTTCTACTATCACCCATGAATTGTATACTCGATAATGATTATATCACATTTTGTTTATCATCAACCTAACATGACTCGTGAGCATCATTACTTCTTAAAATAGATAACGTTGATTTGATTGTTGTCACGTTGTTTTATCCATTTGAATTTAGTTGGATCATGGTTTCTCTCACCTCTTCTAAGCGGTTTGGCATCTATCGGAGTATTTTTCCTAATGCGTTTTATGGTGCTGAGAAAAGTAAGTTTTCGACTATTTTAATGCATTATATTTGATCTCATGCTCTCTTATCACAAGAAATTGGGTTAGTACTAGACTTTTAAATCAAATTTTCGGATTTGAATCCCTTACAATGTTTACTTACGAGTATGTTTTCAGAAGATTGAAACTAGTTTTGTTATTGATGGTGATAAATGTTTGCTTGTTATTTCTTATTACACAAACGTTATTATTTTCTTTTACATTTTGATAAAATTAAAGAATGAACAAATCTGTGTAACTGCGATTGACTTTTGTTTGTGCCAAATGTAACCTCTACCAATTTATCCTTATCATCTCGTTGTCACTTAGTTATTACGGCTACACTTCAAAACCACTGAGTTCACAAACTAATGTATTTGTCTTGGTTTGCTGACTACTTTATGAATCCTTCATACGTACTAACAATATGACTGTCTTGATCAAGATGCTCTACTCACGTACGTTTTCTAAGTAATGAGTTATGATAAGTTACTCAATGTCTGCGGATTTCTATCCCCAGCAAACATGAACATGGTTTAACGGGTTGTCTCAGCTAAATTAATTAATGCTTCGAAGGTATTAAAGACTCCATACTTGTATTCGTGTTGTATTATTCTTGTTTAACAAGCATTTTTCAAATGTGCATAAAAAGGTGGTCTACCATATTTTGTCCTATACATTATACTCTGTTATCAACTCAATATTTCCGTGTTACTGTGAAGGTTAATAAGAGAGTTTACATTTAAATCATACCAGATATCTAAAATACTTTTGGGGTTATTACAATCAAACGATTTAACAATTGTCCTTGACACAATTTTATACACATGATAAAATACTTGGCTTTTATTTTTAGTGTGAGTAAGAACATTTGAATGTTAACTTCTTTTTATTATGAATAAAATCATGTTCAACCAATGACTTTCTAGACACTTAAACTTTTGAAGCTGATAAAAGACGTGACAGTTTTCTACCAATTGACCTACTCTATTTAGACGTAAATATAGGAAATATATTTTTTAAGAAAAATGGATGCGAATCTGTCATATCTGAATTTTATTCTTAGTGCGTGGTTTTACCAGGTGTACCTGCAGAAGTACAGAATACATAAATTCTCATTCTACCATCATTTTCGATGTTTGCGTTTATATATTTCTCAGTTGATCAGAAAGTTATTTGTAATAACAATCTATGTGAATTAACTAGGTTCGAAAGTCTTTATCAAGTAAATCCAAATTCATCGATGTTTCATTGTAACGTAATTGAAAACAATGTTTTAAATGAGTGATTTGTGCTTTGAGATAAAGAAATACGGTGATTTACCTTGATCTAAATGTCATACCACATTAACACGATGAGATTGAATTAACACAATGAATAGTAAATAAGTCGAAATGATGTCGTTGTAACTGTAATGAGAGAGATTAGGCATAAAGTTAGTCAGTCAGCCACAACGTAGAATCAGGCACATATATACATCGGTCCAAGTTGCCATACAGCTTTAGCACAGCAAGGTGAACACCGGATTCATTGGAGTAGTTAAGACAATGGTGGTAATACATAAAAGAAAGAATGCATATATAAGATATAGTACAGGAAGAAAGATTTCGTACGTATAAAGAAAGGTATGAAGCAATTTTAATCTCTTAGTTTAAGGGAAGGCAGCGAGTTTATACACCTACACCATAGTGATCGATTCCGAGCCATGTCGTGGCATGAAGAATATGGTTTAAAAAAGAACAGGATGTAAAGCTTTGTGTAAATGAATTCTAGAGCTCAAAATCTAGCGGATTATATACAATACATGTATCTACGCAATTTTGACCGATTCTGATACTTCACCCAGTCTTCAGCGATTACTTGTTATTGTAATACGAATCCCAACCAAGTAGTCTGCTTCTACTAGCAAGGTTTAGAAAAATACTCTATGACTACAGAAACTGATTCCATGTCATGTTTTGGTTACCCCCAGCTTTATTTCAACTCACCCTTACACCAGGAAGTATGGCGTGTCAAAATAAACAGTGTTTAGGCATAGGTAATAAATACACTAACCACCTTGGTTGATTAATATTCATAAACTCTTCAACCGACTTGTCGTCTTCGCTTATTACTTGTAGTGTCGGTTGCTATTCAAGTTCAAATGGCTTATTCTAGATTTCAGACAAGCCAATCTATTTATTCTTCTTGAGTCACATTTTGACCTTGTCGATTATTCGCTTATCAACCTTGATTGTTTTTATGTAAGCGTATGTGTGTGCATTTGCTATCTTACTCACCACATGTCCGTAACTTATTTTTGTCTGACTATAAATTTCTATTCACGCTTAGCTAAATGGATTTGGCTTAGACGCCTTATCCACCACGCATTATTTCGTTTCGCCTCATTTCTTTGATCATCTGTTCAGACTGAAACAGTACGAAATATGCATATTCAGATATCCATTCTTGCATTCGACTTTTTTTAATTACGTTATTCACCAACGCAATGCAAGTTGATGATTATATACGAGAATTGGCGACATGTACATTTCTATAACAACCATTCATCCGATCTAACTGGAGTCAGATATTGGAATATCAATTTACTCTACTCTTAACCTCAACATCGCTAACTCGGTCATTCCATGATTTTCGAACAATGCTTTGAAAACACGAATCATTAAAATTGTCCAGCTTATATGTGTCTGCTACCTTCAAGTCTGTTTTGCAGTTTTAAATTAATACAGAGCGGCCGCTTCTCGGTATACTTTCTCTCTGGTCGTTAGATTTGCATTTCATCTGCGTCACAAGTGACGCAAGTTGAAAAATCCAACCAAGATTTCTGAACACATGCAGAGGTTTAGGCTAAAGAAACGGTTAAAGCACTCACTTCACTTCTTTTCATAAGCTAGGTGGTGATGGAGACCGTTATTGATGCAACATTTTGCACTTGAGCTGATCGTTGTGGTATTAATCTCAACTTTTTTAATTACTCAGTTTTAAGTTTCTTTTAAAGTAACCATGAACATATGCAGTGATCATAACCAAATCACAGGATATTGATAAGAAAAAGTAGAAATTTTGAATACTAACCAGTTTATTTCTCTTTATTGCCCTAGTACTCTTCACACTTTAATTCTGAATAACAAATTTTTGTAATATTTTGCAAAATAAGTTGTTTCATTTAGAAGTAGTTATTGTGCCTTTTAATATAATCAGTGTATCCTTTAGGTGATTTATCAACTGACGGATGGATAAAACCAATCGTCTGAAGTGTTGATATAAGCTGTTAATTGAGCTACACAATTCTAGGATATTGAAGACATGTCTTCATATTGAGAAATGCTATTATTCATTACTGAGCGTCTGATTATTGAGAATGGAGTGAAAAGTGCTTTAGAAGAAATTCTTATCAAGTAACTACAATGACAAATTTTCAATATTAACGGTAGTACATTATTTTAACAGTATTAATTGTCACTATAGTTTGAAAAGGAAGGGAATAAATCACGTTGTTTACGTCTCTACTTATGACTGATAGTTCGAAACCTTTGAATTTTCTAGAATATAAAAGTTAGATTTTAACTTTCTAGTCACTATGATCTCTGTAAATACAAGTAAATCACACTTTTACTGTTTATTGATTAAAATATAAATACTTTTGATATCTTCCTCATATCCCATTTGAGGCACATAACGCTCAAGTGATGTTTGGCTATCCCGATAAAGTTTCTTTGGAAAGTGTTCATTAAGGTTTGTGAGTAGTTGTATACCTGATTTCTCGACGTAATAGCTTTAGAACATACATGTAAACGGATAAACGATATTCGACATATGTCATGGGTATCTGTGTTACTGAACAGATTTTAGTATAAAAATGAACTAGATAATTAAAGTGACCTATTGTTCCATCGAATATTTTTGCTCAAAAGGGATTATTAAGTGTCGGAAAGTGCTGTTCGGTACAAAATTCTAGTCTCCTCAATCGTTCTACATTTCCTCAATCGAATCACGAGATATAGCCCACTAGTTTCGTGTAAGCTTCATGCTTATCTGACAGCTGATCTTCACTTAATCAATAACATAATTTGACGAATAACAAATGTCCGTACACAATAACAGTGAAAATCCTTATTCTTATTGATCAAAGACACAATTTACCTCTATTCTAATAGCCGGTCAGAAGTCGAACAAAGCAGGTCGAGTAACCTTCTGCTTCTATAACTCAAACACTAATAGAATTGTATATATTAGTTAACGGACGACCACATGCCACAGATAAAGTCATGGTTGGTAAATAACGAAGCTAGAAGTGATGCAAAACTGGGTAATAGGTACGTAATTAATTAACAGTGATTTAGGAATGGTAAAACGTATACCGACTGCTAATGCATTAAACGAAACCTTTAAGATAGAACAAAATTAAAATACTATAAACCAATTATTTAAGTGACATAATAAAGATAAAGATAATTCGCTACATAGTAGTTCCAAAAGTTCCGAATTCCCTAATAATCGCTAGTACATTACATGCTCATAATTTCGTCACCCTTGAATCGTATTCAGATTAATGCAGGCTTCTTTTGAGGTTTATATACTCAAGTTTTTCAAATCATTGGGTATAATTTAAAAAAACATATTTCTCGATTACCGTGTACTTCTTCCTTACTTACTTACGCCTGTTACTCCTCGTGAAGAAGAATAAGCCGCTTACCAGCATTCTTCATCCAACCTTGTCCAAAGCAATCCTTTCCAGCTTTTTCTAGCTGTTATTCATCCTTTCCATATCTGATTCTGTTTCCTGACGTAATGTGTTCTTTGGCCTTCCTCTTTTCCGTTTCGCTTCAGGAGTCCAAGTTAGGGCTTGCCTCGTGATTCAGTTTGGTGATTTGCGTAATGTATGTCCTATCCATTTCCATCGTCTTTTCCTAATTTCCTCTTCAGCTGGAAGCTAGTTTGTTCTCTCCCACAAAAGGCTGTTGCTGATGGTATCCGGCCAATGGATGTTGAGTATCTTG